CTCCGCAAGGCTTTGCGCACCTGCCATGAGAAAACACATTGGCAAATTTATGACGTAAGCAGTCACGTGCATCAGGTTGCCCAGAAAATTCAGCTTTTGGTCTTTGGTGAACATTCGGCATATAACTGTAGAATAAATGACAGCACTAAAATGAACTTTTTTTTTCCCCAAAACGTGCATATTTGGTCAATTGAAGGTAATGGCTTCATGATGAAGAACACTTCTCACGGCATTGCTATGGGCTACATTTATTCATCGCAATGAGAATAAATCCGAGATTCAGCAGTGCCAGTGAGGTCGGTGGGGTGGGAATAAAACCAAATCCGGAGACCCTCTGAGAACCAGGACAAAATTTGTTTGCACCCCTGACTGTAGAAAATTGATGGATGGATGGCTCTAAAGTAAATGGGATTCGCATTTCTTTGCATTGCATCAACATCAATCAACGTCGGAGACAAAATGGCAGCGTACCTTCTCAAAGAACAGCGACTCGGTTCCGACTCCGTGCTTGCTGGCCTCGGCCATGGACGAATCTTTCAAGTTCAGTAACTTGGGCTTCTTCTGTTTTGGTCACATACAATGAGAGGCGATGGGAATGACAAAAGCGTCCGACGGGTGAAACGGGAGAGAACGAGTTGAAGTTTTGCGTACCTTGATGGGGGGCGCGGCCCCGGGAGCGGAATGCCGGCGGATCTGGCAGCCGTTCTGGTTGGGCCTCTGCTTGTTGTTGAGCTGCAGCTTCTTGGTGGTGCCGCCGTGATCGTTCCGTACCGACTCGGCCTTCTCGGCTGTCGTCTTGCTCAACAGCTGAGTGGAATGGAAACGTTTAGACGTGGGACTGAGTGGAGAGGAATGCATCCCTTCAATAAATGGGGGGCTCACTAAAGCTGTGAAAACCAGACTGTTTCACACCATGGCTTGGTTTCTACTTCCTACTTTTGTTCCAATTCTGATTGACTTGACAGGACTCTTTAACTTGATGCCGACCAGCTTTTAATGAACGAGTGGCTTTGATTGGAATCTTCTGTAAGTGCTGTCATGCATTGGAGTCCATCTCTCTGCTTATGCTGTTGGACACGAAAGACCACTGAGTCAAACGTG